ATCGCTGGGCCCTGGCAGACCTGGCATCTACGTGAGCAGCACAGCACTGCTCTGAGATGCTCTGGCTACATCTGCAGAGCGATGACTGACTCTTCGCCTTTTGCAAGGAAACGACATGCCTGAATGCCACACGGTCCCATCCACACTGGACGTTTTGCTTTTCATCTGGGAGGAGAAGGGGCAAATTCGTGCAGAAAACACACAAGGCACCAGTTGGAGAAACCTCCACCTCAAAAACCTCTGGCAGCTAAGCCAGAGGAGGTGGATTTTAAACCGAGCGTCTTCCTCGGCCATCTGGGGCAGCTCTCAGGACGGCCCTCCGCGCTATCAGCCCACCAGCGACAAGCAGGGGAGGCGTTTAAAGAGCGGGAGCGCCTCTACCCAGCCGCAGGGCAGCGCGGTACCCCGTCCGGAGCTCTCCCCGCTCCGGGGCCTTCCCGGCGGGCGCGGCCGGCCCTTCTCCCCGACACCCTCCGCTCCCTGCCCACGGGGAATCGTCCGTGCCACGGGGCCGAGCCGCCCCGCTCCCCAGCGCGAAGGAGGGCGGTCGGCGCCCGCAGCCGCCGCCGGCTCCCTCGCCTCGTCTCGTCTCGTCCGCGAGAACAGCTCCCCCGCCGTCCCCCAGACCAGCCCGAGCCGCGGGCGCAGCCCCAGAGGGACAAACGATGCCCGTCCCTCACTCACCGGCAGCCAACGAGGCGGCGGCGGCCAGCAGGCAGGCCGAGAGCGGCAGCCGCGCGGCTACAACGGCCGCCGAACGTCCCGAGGCGCCTCCGGCCGCTGCCATTTTCCTGCCGCCACCTCCCCGCGCCCCTATTGTCCGCCCCCGGCCGCCGGCCCTCCCCCTCTCGCCTCGCGGCCCTCTTCCCTGGCCGGGATAGGGCCTCGACGCTGTCACTCGCACACACCTCCCGCGGCCAGCTCGTCCCCTCCCCGCTTCTTGTCAATGATTGGTCAAAATGCCGATCCGTCAAATGTCAGTGCCCAATCCAGGATGGAAGTGCGCCGTCCCGCCTCCCGAGCAGGGCACGTGACCTTCTCTCCCCGCCCCTCCGGGCGGTGCCGCCAGGGCGCCGATCCCGGTGCGGTGCGGGCGCGGCTGCGGCCGCTACGGCGGCCGCACCCGGGTAGCACGGGGCCGGGTTTGCCAGGAGCGCCGGAGTGCGTGCCGGGAAACTGAGCGCCCAGCGGCCAAAACCCGTGAAAGTAGCCGGGCGGCACCCAGCAGCGCTCTCTTCGATAGGCAGCGCGGCGACGTCCGGCCGCTGCTTCCCGGTCTGCCGGAGGAGGGTGGTAGGGGTGAGACCCTGCCGGCTGGGAGAGCCGGCTCCGGCACGCATTCCCTGCAGCGCGGGCTGCTTCCGCGGCCCTTCTGGCTGCCAGCAGGATAACCGCGTTTGCATTTAACCTGAAAATTCCAGTTGTATTTTAATGAAGTTGCACACGCTCCAAGCCGGATCACAAGACTATTGCTCACCGCACACGTGAGACTTCCCAGGCCTAAAATATAGACGCAGGGCTCCTGATCTGCACTGTGCCCGTGTGCACCTTCCTACAGCCGCTCGGGGAGGAGGCCCACGGCTCTCCTGGGATTGCAAACGTCATTAGCTTGTGCCTTCATAATCCGTGCCCTGAGGAGAGCTCTGGAGTGTGTTCCTCAGCTAACCGTTGGGGAAGTTTCCTAGAAAGTCAGGATGGGTTATAGCTCTGCTCGGTGGCTGAAGGTACTCATTGCCACAGAAGATATGACATAAATACCCACTGCTTTACATTCAGACCCCCTGAATGGCCCAAGTTTCTCTTTCCAGGCATTTTTCCAAGGTAGTGGAACCCGAAGTGTTTAAAACTCAGACCCTGTTCCTTTCTAAATTACTCTCCTCCACGGAGTTCATGAGTTCTCTGTGTCAAAAGCAACAGCTCCTACTTTAGTATGTTGTCCCACGTCAGAGGCATATGTTGGAGGTTAAGCAGTAGAGGTAGAATCTGCCTACCGATATTCCAATACATGTTGTTGCTGTGCGATGGCAGCAGAGGGGCAGTTTGACACAATGACATCTGCCGTGAAAATGCACTTGGAGCAAAGCACTGAATTCCTCCATGAGGAAAAAATGATACCTATTGACATTCAATGATGCTTGCTGGATGTTTCTGGAGACCAAACAGTGGATGCGAGTACAATGAAAGATGGACTGCGTGGGCAATGTTTTCCTAGCAACGATGCCAGCATAGCAGCTGTGAAACAGTGGGTCACTTCTGCTGGAGCAGATTTTTACAAGGACGGCATGCAGGCTCTTGTTCATTGATTGGCAAATATGCATAGCTAATGGCAGTGACTATGTTGAAAAACAGCTTTTGTAGATGAGAATTTGCTCTATCAATTAGTGTTATTGTGTGTCCTTTATATTTGTCGTAGTTTCCATGGAAATAAATAGGAGCCATTACTTCCAGAGTGACCAACATAGCATGGCTTGGCCAGGTGAAGCTGTGGGATGACCCAGCTCACCAAGCAGCAGCACTGCTGGTCAGCACAGAGAGCACGTGGGAGAGCACCGGGTCTGCTTTTTCAGATCACGATGACTGAATTAGTGTCTTCTGCTGCTTTCAGACTTGGCAGCGCCTCCAACAGCCGCCAACGAACGGCCACTGCAACAAGTTGCTCAGGCAGGGCGTCTTCGGTCAGTCGTTCTTGTTCAACGGTAGGAACCCTTCTTCCGTGGTGGCTCGTTGGTCTAGGGGTATGATTCTCGCTTAGGGTGCGAGAGGTCCCGGGTTCAAATCCCGGACGAGCCCACTTTCTTATTTTCGATGCTTTTTTTTTTTTTTTTTTAAATCCCCACCTCCTTGCCGTTCCGCACCCACCCACTTGACGGCTGCTGCACAGGCTGAGCCCCGCGTGCATTGCGCGCACAGCGGCCGCCGCCGCGCAAAGCAGCGGGAGGACCGACGCACTGTTGCATTCCAAAAACAGAATTAGCATGAGCAACTAACGAGGAAAGCGACCCCTTCTCCCCTTGCCTTCCCTCCCCCCACCACCATGAGTCTGGCTCCCCCGCATTCGCCCCTTCATTCCCCAGTGCCTCCCTTCACCGCTGGCACAGCCCCGACCGCAGCCTTCTGAGCCCCGCAACCTCGCTCCGCTCTGCCTATCCGTCGCGGGACGGCCAAGACAACAAAAACACTGCGGAGCGCTGCGGCGGCAAAAACAGGAGGAACTGATCCCTCCCCTCGCAGAGGGCTCGTCCGGGATTTGAACCCGGGACCTCTCGCACCCGAAGCGAGAATCATACCCCTAGACCAACGAGCCGCTCTCTGCTGAGTTTTCCCCAGCTGAACACTTGACTCATCTCCTCCGCCTCTCGCCCGTGGCCATTCCCCCTACGACTGTTCTCGTATTGCGTTGTGCCCTGCCCTCCCTTCCGACTGCCTCTCATTCCGCTCGCCCTTCGCCCACGCCGCTTCTCCGCCGAGCTGCGGCACCTGCTGCTGCTTACCCCCCCTCGCTCCGAATTTGGCCGAGCTGGTGGGGCTTGAAGCCGGGCGAGCTCATTCTCAGCGAAGGAAGGGAGCTTCTACCCCCCTGTAGCCGTGGTTTAACCCTGCCGGCAGCTGCCAGGGTGTTGATATCTCCTCCCCCGGGCGGGCAGAACAACGGTCTGAAAGATCGACAGGGATTTCCGCTGTCGCCACTTACTGCTGTTTGCCTATGCTCGTCCTTACCTTTGCTTCTGTACACGCCTGCCTCGGTGATCTGCCAGATCTCTGGGTGTGAGGGGCTCCACTCAGCTCATAGCCCCAAGCCTACGCTTCATCAAAATGCTCAGAGCCTACACAACTGAAGGACGGAAGACAACACCACCATCTGTGGGCCGAAGCTGGTGTGTTCTGGCAGCATGGACACAGCAGGGACACGTACCCACCCACAGTCTTTTGCAGTGTCGTGGTACTGGCCAGAGTTTTTTCCAGAATTGCTCTCACTCAGCCTGTAGAAGGGCTGAGTGTGAGGTTTGCGTGCAGCCTTTGCTAATGTTGCCTGCTGCTTCAGGCTCCTACATTGACCCGTGAGAAAAGACACATATTTTGTTCTGTTTTGTTTTTATTCCACCGTTTATTTCTTCTGTTTCTCCCTCAGATTTCCACTCCCTTGCTTGGGACACACATGCTCATTCTCTAAACAAGCACACATGAATTGATATATACAGTCAGGCACAGTCACTCACAGGTAGGACGCTGCTGAGAGAGGAAACAGGATACAGCAAATGATTGCAGCCTGCCCTGGAATACAAGATTTAACAAACATGTTATAAAAGGTCCAAAGGCCACAATACTCTGCAACATGGCTCAAAAGGATGCACAGGGGTCATGTTTGCCAACAAGCCCATTCTGTGTACCAGGGCCAACACGGCTGGCTCTCAACAGATAACCCCTCAGTGCTCTGATTTGAGGAAAAGAAAGGCAAGGCACAGAGGCATTTCTTCCTTTGTGATTTTAGTGTTGGTGAACAGAAAGGGGACATCCTTCCAAACTCTGGGTTTTGTAACAGTGCTATACTTCAGAGCCCAGTGCAGGAAGGATGTGGGCTGTGTTGTGTTAAATCCTTGTGCCTGCCTATAAAAGAGGGACAGCATGAACCTCCGACTCTGCTCAGCTTAATATTTACCAGGAGGAGCTTTGTGAGGGACGAAGGGGAGTTGCTTAACTCTGCCTTTGGTCTTTGTAGCTGTGTCCATATTGCTGAACCCCAGGTGACTGCTGCAGGTTCATGCACTGGCACCATACCTCTCATGGCTCTGCCAGCTACCTCTTGGGGCAGCTCAGCTTTGTGTTCCCACAGCAGCCTGCTGCAGAGGGGCTGCACCTAAGCAGACATGAGCCCAATGGCCCTGAGCCACAGCAGCATTTGATTCAGTAATACAATCACAGCTCCAAGCATTACTGACAGGAAACCAGTTAGGTATGGTCCTGTTTTCTTTTCCTGCATAACTTATTTCACGCTCTCCAGATGTAGATGTAAAAGTTTATTTCACTTAACAAATGTTAGTTCCATATCTTAGCTATTACACCAAGAGTGAGTGGAAATCTAGCAAAATGCCAATCCTAGATACTTCCAAGGGACTGGCTATCTGCCCTACACCAAATCATATGCAGTCAAGCCACATGATTTGAAATAACTCCACCATCTAAGACCTCACCGTTGACTCACAGAAAATTAATAGGCAGTTTCTAGTAAGTCAGAATGCTTTCTGTCAAAAGTGTCACAGAGTAGTTTCAAAAAAAAAATAATAATAATAATAAATCAAAAAGCAGAGTCTGGAAGTTAAAAGGACTGAGGGACAGGTGGCCCTTCTAAATCAGAACTGGACTACAGCATTGGGTAAGAGAACTTGCCCTGCTGACCTACACAGCACATCTTTTCTGTGCATCGTATCTGTTCACTGTTACTTTCCACCAGCACTAAAATCATTCCAAAGTTGAAGTACACAAAAACTGCCCACCAACAATGACTGGATGTTTCACAGATCAGCCAGCTCAGCCCCCACTTCAAAGGCATTTTATGCTTTATGAACAATTTCCTAGGAGATTTTCTGATATTCAGGATTCACATTGTCTGTATTAACATATATGGAGAAAATACACACTTTCCCACTATTAAAACATTATTTACTGACATTTGAAAACCCAAGATATTTCAAAAAAAAAAAAAAAAAAAAAGCTATTGAAAAGGCACCATAGGCATACGCATGTAAGTGATGAACTTCACCTAAGACCAATGCAGGGGAGAATAAAATGACATTCTGGAGCTCAGCAGGAATAAGGAACAGAGAGCCCAGGAGTGGCGGTGGCTGCCAGGTCCAGGACAGCACATAGCAAGCAGGTCTCTCAGTCTCCAGTTACCACCTTGGGATGTCAGCCAGCACCTCAGTTTTGTACTCCCAAATGATTGTAAGGCAGTCTCTTGTTCTGACTGTCACAAAATATGATGGTGCAAAGCAGAGAGCTGGTGAGCAGCCACTCAGCTCCGGGATCGGTCTGGACCTCGGGGGATATCTGTACTCTGCTCCTCTCCTGCCACTGAAGGTTTTCCAGTAGCTTCCACCTTGATTAAGTTAGATGGTTCCTATTCACACATCATCTCCTGTGTCCTGGATGGGTACGTCCTTTGGAGAAGGAAAAGTAAGAAAATGATGAAAAATAATGAGCAAGTCTAAGTAAATACATGAGTGGGCAATCTGTGGTACTTCGGCGGTTTCCATGCTAGACTGCCTCTTTCAGTCAATCCTTACCCAACCAAGGATACTTTTGAAAAGGGGACTGGCTGAGGTGAAAGATATTTCCTCAGATCCCTCTGACTACGCAGTCAGTGGCTGGAGAACAAGGAAAAAGCTACATGGAACAAGTCTGTGGAAATATTCTTCTATTTCAAGCAGTGGAGGCTCACAGAAGCTGCTTGCAGGGCTGATTATGAAACCGGTATGAGTGTATTTTTGTTGGCACAGCTAACAGGATAACAAGATACATATCTATAAATATGGTGTATGTATATGTATGCATGTATCTATACAATGTGTGCACACAACAATAAAAATACATACATGTAGGGAAACATACAGAAATTGTACATACAAGGTAGAGTTAGTATATGCATGGTTTCTACTTTCAAACTGCTTTCAAAACAGCAGTTGGGTAGGGTGCCTAGCATCAGAGAGCCTCTTCCATTGTACTGCAGCCAGAATTGTTTGTTCCTTCTCTGCCTCTTTATCCCTTCTTTCTGTAGCACCAGCCAGGAGGACTGGTTGTTTAAATGTACTGCCTTGAAGACTCTGCAGAGATTTGATAATCTTGAGGTGTGGGAAGCAGCATAAATATTGGCAAGTTCTATCATTTTTATTAGTAAGCAAAATCTTTTGATATTTTAGGAGCTATTCTCATTTTGGCAGTACTTACCTAATGTGCATTACGGCTACTCAGTGCCCTGCTCCTGCATGGCTGATGTTAAAGGCTCACTGGCAGTCTCTAAACCCACTGCCTGCTGCAGCGGTTGAGGTGCCAGTGGTGTTTCCTCAGTGTCTGATGTTCTTCGTGTGACTGTGTTCTCACTGGTCTCCTTTTCTTCAGTTTCTTCCTTCTCTTTGTCTCCCTTTTCCTGTTCACAGGCACCACCTTCCTCCTCTTTTTCCTGAGGAGCCTCACACACCTTATCTTCCTTGTCTTCAGAGGGTGACTGGGGTGAGTTGTTCTCTCCTGGAGCACCACAACACACCTCCTCCTCCTCCTTTTCTGTATCTCCTGTGTTACTCTTGCAAGGAGTCACTTCTTCCACTTGCTTTTCCTCTTTGTCTTCATTGTCCGATATGCTGGATACTCTCCTCGATGGGGGCTTCTCATCAGACACTGTCTGTTTCTTTATTTCTTTGTTCCCTGTTTCTGCTTCCTCTGTCTTGCCTTTATGCTCAAATACCTCATCCCCATCTTCTTTGGTACCATTTTCTGGAGAGGGAATGATGTTCCCTAAATCTTCCCCATCTCCATAGTCGGACAGAGATCTTCGGAACTTCCTGGAGGGAGGCCTACGCTTTATTGATCCCCTCGTCCGCACCTTGAGGCAGGAAAGCAGAAATTGAAGCAGTCAAAGAACAGTACTGGAAAGCAGGAAAGCACAATAGAGGGAAATGCTGGGGAAAACTTGATTACTGCGCTGGTTTTCCTGCTCTACTACTGAGAGGTAGGGAGGAAGGATTGCCTATTGCTGAAGGATAAGCAGCTCCCCAAAATGTAACCTTCTTTCTCTCTATAGAGCTGATGCTGAAGATCACTGTCCCAGTGTTAACTGTGAGTCTGTCCAAGTTAAACTCTAAATCAAAGAAGCTGATTTCATGGTGCAGGTGTTGCTGACATTGGTTGTTTCAGCCTCTTCAGCTTTTCGCAGTTTGGTGGCTGAGGAAGGAGTCTCCAGAGGAAGCTGGTGAATGCAGGTTATAGCTCCTCATTTACGTGCTGTACACTCTGTGGAACACCAGGGCAGACTGTCAGGGCTCCACAAACAGCACCTTAGCTATCTTTGACATTTGCTGGCATGTGGCACCATTTCCTCATGGTGCTCCCTGCTCAGCTATCAGCCACCCACTTATTGCTGAGCTGAAATAATTGAATCCTTACACCTTACCCCTTCTCTATTGCTATGGGGCCATGAAAGCTACTGGAGCCAACTGGCCCACAAAACCCTATGGACTGGTAGGTAGAGAGAAGATTCACAGAACTACACCAAAAGCTGATTTAAACTCAGCACTTAGATCTCCTGACTTGACTACAAAGGCACGCTGTTATGGCAGGACTGAGGGCTAAAGCCTCCCTTTCCTCCTCAGCTGCAAGCAACAGACAAACTTTATCCTGCTGTGGTGGAGAACTAGAGCATGCCCTACCTTGTTATAGAATTGCAGCTGAGTGCCTTCTGGAGGTTTATCAAAGCTGACCGGTGTCTCACTTGCTTCACTGGACTGCGGCTGGATCCCTGGGCTGCTGGGCGTTGAGGGAGGGGTGCTGAACGGAGAAACCATGACTTTCAGACCAGGGCTTTTGGGAGATGCTCCCGGCAGCAGAGCTGCTGGCGAAAAAGCCAGATTGGCCTGCAAAGTAAAATTCCCGTCACTACTGTGGGTGACACCGGTGTGTAATACATGCGTTAACCACGTGGAGGAACCCTTGCTCACACTGCAGGGCCACCACATTTCAGCTGTCACAGCCCACATACCTTCTGGTTATGGGTCTCTCCTGGTGACACTGTCAACAAACAAGTCCGGGCAGAGGAGTTATGACTGGACATTTGCCCTTCCCCAACAGCTGGATCTCAGGATGAGTTCTTTTGTCATCCTAAGGACTTTGGGGATTTTCCAGTGACCCAGCCAAGCCAGCACAGTGTACAGCGGCTGAGCCAAGGTATCAACAAGCAGTCAGCGATCAGATTGAGATTTAAACCATCCCTGTCTGTGCCCAAGCAGACCTCACATTTTCAAGGTTGGTCTGCAGGTCTTCTGAATGATCTGTGCAGCCATGAGGAGAGAGAAGGCCATAGGAAGAAACAAGGCTGTGATTAACTGTGGCAAAGCACCTTGTGCTAGCCTGCTATTAAGAAGTTCTACAGGCAAATGTCCTTGGGTGCATTAACAGGGACATTGCTATGAATAGGCTTGCATTGCACTGGGGTGCTCAGGAGGCATTATGTCCAGAAGTCACGCATGCTGCCAGGAGTGGCAGCTGGCAACAGAAGGACATCACGTCTCTGGGCTATTGAGCTGTCCTCAGTGGCATGAATCAGGTACCACCAAGAGACAAAAAGGACAGGAAGCGCAGGCTGCTTATGTGTAATTCAGGGAACTGAGGCAAGGAAAGAACAGAGCTTCTAGGCAGTCTTAGGGAGTGCCAGAGACCCAAGGGCACTGCCCACTCACAGGACTTTGTCTGTCTTTGCTCCAGGTCAATTCCCTGAGACATACAAGTGGTTTAAACTGCTGTGGAGAAAGAGCTGGAGGAAGGCTCAGCCACAGCTTTCCTCCTCTCTTTTATGAGCTGGTTTTAAAGTGATGCCTTATATGCCACAGATCCAGTACAGTGATCCTGTGCTCCACACTGATCTACCAATGCTCATGCCCAAGGACAGCGTTACTGACACTGGTTACCCATTAGCAGATCTGCTCTGCCCTCTTTGTTTATGCATTGTGGGTTTGGGCCCTCGTTGGTGAGACCACTGCCCTTCCTATCTAGCTGTCACCCTCAACTCCTGGATCCTCTTTCTTTGTGGCTCCTCTGCAAGGGAAGTGGCTCTGAGCAGTTTTAATTTGCTGGGGCAGCCATATGGGCTCTTCCAGGACCTACCTGTAGCTTTTCAATCATGGGAGAGCTTTTCACCTTGACTTTGGGAATGGGACAAGCATTTGGAGATGGCTTCTGCAAAACAGAATGAAAACATGAAAAGATCACATTAAAGTAGGTATGTATAATCAATGGATATCAAGATATCACAATCACAAAACAAACAAGAGAGTTAGGCGAAGTGGACTATGACAACAAGAGAGAATAAATGGAAGGCTTACCCTTACACTGGGCTCACCACAAAACAGCAGAAGAAGGGATCTCCAGATGAGATCCTTCCCCACTGGTAGCCAGCTCTTAAATAGGTCTAGGAGGGGTGCAGCCAGGCTCCACTCCCTTCTGGCAGCACAGGAGAATTGCCTTCACCTGTGCTCCTGTGGCTGACTCATGGCTCGCCTCAGGTGATCAATCAGAGGTTCAGGCCATGACTCAGCAGTTCCCATACAAGGTGAGAAAAGGGAAATGTAAAAAAGGTACAAAACTTAGAAGAGATGGAAGTTCTTGCAGGGAAGCAAATGAAGCCTCATATAAGGCATTCATACAAAAGTTTGCCTCCTTCTTTCCTAACCACACTTCCCTTTTGCTTTCTAGACATCTTAGGGCTCTACACGCATGCGTCCTTCTTTTGGGAGAAAAGGTGATCATCCTTTGGCTGAAGTGTCTGAGTTAGGTGCTGCTATGTGGCTTTGAATTGAGTATGTAACCTATGATATAGTTTCCCCCTATATGAGGATCGGACAGATTAAAATTCTACCTCTCAAAGGGCACAGGGCCTTAATGTTGGTAAAACATTACAAACTTTTTGTAATGGTAAAGACTTTCTGCCCTCACTCAACTAACAGTTGCAGGGTACCCAATTAGTATGGAAAGGAAAAGTCTAAGTGGCTATAATGGTTGAGCTATGAAAGGCTCAAAACTGAGAAAGGGAGAGTATTTCTTTGAGAAGGTATGTAGGAAAAGGAAGGAATGTGTGACTTCAAAGTTTGTGTTTCTCTGGCGTGGAAGCAACAAGAGCCTGTAGCTATCAGAAAAGAACATTCAAGAACCATTTCTTTAAGGGCAGGCAACGATATGAAATTTGGTGGATAAAACTCATACTTTGACACTACAGAAAGCCGGAAGTGACTGGAAAAGGCTTGAATATAAACTTGGGTGAGTAGCTGCCAGCTTCTATAGACCTTATTGGGATCTGCTCATTCAAGGATGCTGTATGGAGGGCACCTCAAGACAATATTCTGCAGGCATTGCTGAAAGAAAACCTCTTCACTCTAGATTAATTATTCCTTTTTTCTGAAAAGCAGAACTGTTATGCCACTACATTTGAACCTTCAATGTTCATATGAAGCTAAAGAAAGAAAAAAAAAAAAAAAGAGATGTCCCCTGTGCTAAATGGTGTTCAACTGTAAGAAATGCTAGCAGTTCCTGCTTTAAAACAATTCAAAGGTGGTAACTGTGGATCTGTCAGTAAAAGGTTAAAAGCAAAAACAGTAGAAATGGGATGCATCTGTGTGTTACCAGAGTTGGAAGCAATTTGCTGCTAATTCTGAGTCAGTGCCTGTGTGGAAGCATGGGAAGGTTTGATGGTGCATTACTGATGTCTTCTGCTGCACAGCTTGACCGCTGTGCCATCTGCAAGCTTTTGTCTCATGACAGAACAGACTGCAGAGAAGAGATTCTTTGTCCTTGGGTTAAATTGATAACTCACTTGCCCATTGTTCTGGCTTGTCTCAGTTTTGTTGGAATACAGTGGAAGAGAGCATGGTGGTTTCCTCCGAGTTGGCTTATGTGGTGGCACCTGAGAGAAGAAAGCGACCAACTCAGCAGAAGGAACATTAGTTTGTTATTGTTTGGTTAAGTGAAATTCAAGCACAAAACAGCATGCTCTGTAAGTGACCTGCTTGGGATGGCAGTACCCAGCTTACCTAAAGGAAACTTCCAAAGGCACCACATGACATTAATATATGGATACATGACCAGCACGCTAAGCTCACAGCATCTCAAGCCCAATCCCAGTATTGGAAAAGTAGGCTAGATCTCTTTTCACAGCATGAACCATGAGAGTTAGTTTTGTGCAAAGGACACTCTTCTAAGCTGTGAAAGGTGGGGAAGCCTTCCCAGAAGCTTCATCTTCAAAGCACACTGCTGGACAATCCCTCCCCCCCACACACAGTGAAATAGCTTGGCACTGTTCTCTTTCCTGTCTTATTACCAGGACTTGTTCTTAAAGAATCTCAGCTTCCTACTTTGTTCATGGTCTTAATAATTTTTTGACAACTTGGTGGATATTCTTCAAAATCCACAGTATAACGTGGGGATAATTTTGCTATTTCCTAACAGGCAGGCATGTGAAAGAAAAAAAAAAAGAAAAAAAAAGGCTTATAGCACATGCTTTTTATGGAATTGGATGTCTTGGAGGACAAGTGGAGCTGATTTTAATTAACTACTGGTGGTATTACACCCAGCCATGGCAATGCTGCATCTCTAAGCAGACAAAAGCAGTCAAAAGCAGTCCTGCCCTTCTGCTTACATCACACTAGGAAGCAGTAATACCCAGTTTTATTGAAACCCTACCATTCTGCGACCAAACAATGCTGTGTTGTGCCACAGTGATGGTCAGAGCTTCACTGGCTGATAGGTTCCTCCTTTCCTGACATGGGTCAAGCAAGGGTTAAGGACCATCCAGGCAGCCATTAATCTGAGACCAGCCTGAGAAAGCTGTGGGGAAGTGACAGGCAGCTTGGAGAGAAAAGACAGGAAACTTTGTCCTCCTCAGTCCCTGGAGAAAATGAGTTTTTCCCTCACTGTGAGGCCCCTCTACCCTGCCTGGGCTTGGGAACAGCAGAGGTCTGCAGATAACATGTGGAAGGTTTGGGAACTTTCTGGCTTCCTAAGGATGAGGAACTTGGTGCAATTAAATCCCATACCTTAAAAAGAGGAAATGACTATAATGGGATGGATGGAGTAGTGTACTGGTGACTGGAAGAAAAAAAGTAGTGGCTGGGGAGAGATTGGCTATTCCCAGCCTGGGGCCCAGCTAAATGAGTGCTAACCTCTGATAAACAGTGGCACTCCAGACCCACACAACAGAGGTCACCAGTGCATCCTGCCAAAGACATGATGCATTACAGGGAGGATGCATTACAGGGAGGATGCCCTTAGGTGCAGACTGGGACAAAACTGAAATCAGCTGAGCAAGAAAAGCAAACAGTTCAATTTTAAAGGAGTTTTAAACCTATTGACTGGAGAGGGCTTGTCAGTAGGCATCTACACTTCTAGAAAAGTGTGTAGTGATACAAGGGGTTTTCCTAAAATGTTAGAATTCATCAGTAAACACTTTGATTTTCCTTTCTTCCTAAGAGAGGTATTCAAGTGTTCTGCTTACCTGGTGAAAGACAACTTGTGAGTTGAATGCTTGGCATAGTGGGCTTTCAGTAAAATAAACCCTCAGCATGACAGAGATAGGCACAGAATCTGAAATGTTGTTACTGTAAAGAGGTAACTGGGGCAATTAAGGAGATAACTTTCTTTCTCAGAAATGTATAGAATGAAGCACCTAAAGGTAACTTTATTTTTTTGTGAACAAGGTGCTAGTGACATGCCACTGGCTTCTATTCTACGTAACCTGTTGTTTGCCACCTTCTTCCATAGTTCAAAATTAGCTTCTTTATTATTCATTGCTACCCTCAGCTTACAAAAGCCAGCCTACACAGTGCATGCATTGCTGCCTGCTACTGTTAGGGATATCTGCATATCCCACCCAGCTTTAGAGCATCTCAGTTACAGTATGAATGTGTGGCTCTGCCAAAAAAAAACATGCACAATTCAGCAATGCACCGAAGATAGTATCACAGCTTGCACTGCACTTATGAGACAGAGCCTTTTAGGAAATTCAAAATCAAGGTGGATTTATGCACTGAGGCTCTAACTTCTACAGGCAGAAGCAAGTGTTTAATTTCCCACTTCATTACCTGCTGGTGGCTGCAAAGCTCCTTACCTCTTTTCCAGTGATACTGGCTGCTTGCTCTTTGAATTTCCCTGCTAGCTGAGCCACTGAGGGAGATGCTGACTTGTCCACCTCTGAATTGGTTTCTGTTGGCCTGTTCTGACAAATCAGAAACAGTATGCTATGAGCAACGGCTGGGAAAAACAAGCAGGCTAGAGAGGAGCTTGTGTGTTACAAAGTTCAAGAGTAAGCAACGACTTACAGCAGTTTCTCACATCTGGCATCGATCATCCAGTCTGAGAGCAGAAGTTTTGGGAATACAGGACATAGCAGTACATTCAGATATCCAAGGTAGTGAGTAGAATCACATAAAATTAGTAATTCATACACTTTTCATCCGCGGTTGAAGGTTCTATACACAGTATTTTTCATGTTCCCTCTCTTTTCCTAGCAGTGAGCTGATGAAATTGAGTGATAAATGACATCCCCATTCACTTCTCATCCCTCCCACCCATTTTTGCTGCCCTAGTGACAAGCACCCTTCCTTTTCCAATGGTTCTGTTATGAGAAGCCGTTCTCTGCCCCTGCAGCAAGCTAGCATCTGCCTGGAGATGTCCCTGTGCTGTTCTGCTTTCTATGGCAATGAAAGGATCAGGCGGGTGGGCGGGAGGGAGGAAATACCAGTGCTGAGGGAAGCTTCCCCTCTCCTGGGCCAGAGAGGCTGAGAAGTAGGGGGATTGATGGAGACTGGATGGTGCAGCTCTTCCCGCAGCAAACAGCCCTGCTCATCCTACATTGACCTTGTTTTCTTTGTTATGTATCAAGAAAGGGCAAGAGTAAGCTTTGAAATCAAAGCTCATGAAAGGAAACTTTTGTTCTTTGTCTTCAGTATCTGATGCAGTGAAAACCAAACCAGAGGAACTGTGAATATCTAGCCAACAATCCTTGTTTTTTTGGCAACTGAGACTTCAGAACTACAAACTAGGCTACGAACCATCGGAAAGGAGCCTCCACTCCCTATACCACCACTATTAATCCATGACCAGCACAATGCTTGCTGTCCTTCATGTTCTACACATTTCTATTTCTGAATCAGAAAGTAAACCAAAAGCTGTTTGAGGAATACATTTCTGTTTCTCCAGAGGTGCTCTTCCTTCTCCCTTCATGCTGCTCTGTCTGGAAGGAACTGGCTGGCTAGTTAATGTAACCACTCCTTTAGTATCGATGGAGGTAAAAGGCCCACAGAGCACCAAGCTGGCCTGTGTATCAGCTGTTTCTTCTGGCCAGAGGACCTTTCCCCTTCTCAGAGAGTGATAGCTCCCAATAAATGCCGTCCTACTTCTCCCAGCCCCACAAATCCCCAGTATATGCTGTTATTCTGTTTTCAGGATTCCTCTTAAAATCTTCCCATATACTTCTGACCAGCTTTCTCACATCCACCCACAAAAGCCATTTCAAGCTTGGTCTTCTCAGTGAGCTGCTGGCAGCTCTTCCCTCCATCTTCTTTGCCTTCATTAGTGTCATCGGAGGCAGGGGAAGTGGCAGAGAAGGGGAAAGGAAGGACCAGTGAAGTAAGCAGATGAAGAGGACAACGTGCAGCACGAAACAATGATGTCTGGGCTCAGTGGGGAGGCAGAGCCCTTTCCAGAGCTCCATGCTGTTCAGGAAGGGCTGCCTGGAAATAGGAGGGGAAGAAGGATGAAGATGGGGAAAGGAGAAAGAATCCAAGTGCTTGACTCGGCGACTCAGCTAAGGCTGAGGAAATGCAGGTGCCAGAAGTTTGTGTGGGTGGGTTGCCTCCCCTATGGTCTCTTTTCTTCTCATACTTGTGCTTCTTTCACAGTCCTCTGCCTTCACCCAGAAAATGCAGTGCATTTCCTATTGGCCTCCTTGACCTCTTATGTTGAGGTTGTTGTGTGGCTGTTTTTGTTAAACTTATTGCTCTCCGGTCTGAAAACACGGCTCCTTTTCTCTGTGCATTTCTTTTTTTGCTGGTAGCACTGCAGCACAGTTCTCCAACACATGGAGCCTGAGTCCAGCACACAGGAAGCAGTGAGCATGCCATTCTAAGATTAGAACAAGTAGCCCACGGGCTGTGTCCTCCCAAAAGTGCCAGCTGCAGGCTCTCCAATTACGCTATGCCTTTTGCAACAGGAAAAGTCCTTTCTCAGATCCTTTCTGGCAATTGAACTGCTGTCCTCTGTCCAGCTTTTTCTACAGGGCTGGGTATTTTTTTCTTTTTTTTTTTCCCAGCTGGTGTTCCAGGCTGTGTGCCTCCTAGTCGAGGGGGTTCACCATACTGGGACATTTGGATGCGGAAAACTCCCTCCCTCACATGGGAAGGAAAGTGCTCTCCCGCTGATTTCCAGTGGTTGCGTGTTCACTGCAAGGAAGTGGGAAGCCTCATGTTCTCACTCTCCACACAGAGCTGGCACCAGCCCTCAGCCTCCTCCATCACTGAGACATGGCTGCTTGGTGCTAGCTCTCTCCTGACCTGGGGTATTAGTGCATTCTCTTCCATTCTTAGTGTTTTCCCCATTCATTGACACAGTCCACCAACTTTCTAAATGATGATGAGGAGCAGTTCTGGTCTTCTTTTCCAAAAACAGCAGAATTATTGAGACTTGAATTTTGCACCTGTCAGAAATGTGGTCTGTCTGCAAGGACTAAAAGCAGTGAGCCACGGTACAAGACTTACTCCATCAGCCATTTGGTGGCTGCTATTCGGAGGTCTTTCACTCTTCCATAAAGATAAGTATCTAAGCATCACATATTCTGAAAGATTTCAGATTGAGAGGCAAAACAGGAATTAAATTGCACCATTAATGTGAGCATATCACTGCAAAAGAGGAAGCGCATCTAACAAGTTCTCTGTGAGGGGTCTCACTTTCCTCTTCCAAGTAAGCTTATAAATTTGAGTAAATTTGAAAATGTTTTTTTTTTTAATCCCATCTCATTGCTTTTGAGACTGAACCCAGTCCCTCTAGCTGTGCTGCAGAAGAAAGTTCTGCCTTTATTCATGGAGTAGGTACAGTTTCAGCAACTCAAACTTTCCACAAAAGCCTCTCCTTCCTTTGAAAGAGTCCTTTTCCTTTGGAATCATTGCCTCTGATGTGAGAGCAAAATGTACTGCTTGCCTTGCCTCTATTTTGCAGATGGCTTGAAGAGGCACCACCATTTTTAGCAGAGATGTATGCCCCTACTTCTCTCACAGGCTGTCTGGTAGACACACCATCAGGTCCTGCAGAAGTTTCCCACACCATCCCTGCTGTGTCTCTTCAAGGTGCAATTGTGACAGCACTGGCAGGCTAATATGGCAGAAGGTGCTAGGGTTAAAGGCGCTAAGGACAAAAGGGGTCTAGAAGCCACAGTTTCCTGTCTGTACCATTTGTGTACTCACAAAGAACTTTTCTTAACAGTCATGGATGTAAGCTACAGGTAGGGAGTATCACTACAGATAATGAGTTTCTTATGAAATCAAAATTATAAATAGTCCTGGGAAAAGCTGGAAAGCCCAGAGGTGGTTTTGGGGATGAATTTGAACATCCTGCTGGGATTGGTTCAAAACTGGCTCCCCCCACCCCAGGCCTCTGCAACTGAAAGCTGTCCTGACTCCATGTCATAGGATTGGTACCCTACAAGTTTGGGCACTGGCTGTGATAGGTGACTGCAGTGCTAGTCAGAAGGGGGACCTGTAGGTGTTGGAAACAGACAGTGAGGGAGAAGCTCCAGTTTGGATTTGCGCATCTGCTTTGTCTAGTGAAAAGAGCAAATGTGTATTAATTACCACACAGTGAAATGTTTGGGGTTAAGCAGCACCAACATACTGGCGGAGTACCAGCAGAGATGTGTCCCCCACTGTGCCAGAAGTCCTCTGAAGTGCCTGCTTTTGTATTTACAATACTTTGGCTGCACCGAACACCTTTTAACTGCAAGGGCAGGTGACTTTGCAGCACCTTGCAAGACTGGTGTGTTTTGTGGCTATGAACCCAGCTGCTGCTTACATGACTGTTTGCACCAGTCCTGTGTACTTTTCCACTCTCGTCTTCATGCAGCTGCATCTAGACTTGTTTATAAGGCCCTGCCCTGTCAGCTCTGCATGCCTCCCCTGCCCTGAAGTGCTTCACAAAAGCTATTCCCCAAAGGCAGTCCTCACACCAGGCCATCATGCCTGCTGCCTTCTCATACCCTGCACTTGCACAAACTATGCACAGCTTCCCCCTGACTCCCATGGAGTTTTTCACTGCTGCCCTATCCTCTGAAGCAAAAGCAAATGGGGCAAAAATAATGATAAACATAGTGGCAGACACAAAATAGCGTAAGAGGCCCAGGGCCGGTGTCTTGCTCTCAGAAACAGGATCCAGAAATCAGAGATCTTCAGCAGACAGCTCTCAGTGCTTCACCATGAGAAACCCAGTTGTCAGGAAGCTGGGTGAAAAGCAGAGAGCGTCAGCGCTTTTGGGGTGCCGTTTCATGAAATCCTGGTTTGGACAAAGAGCTCATGTTTCCAACTGCTCTTTTTTCCCTTGACCTTTCCTTCCCCCTCCCTCATGCCAGTGTGTTTGTAGGGATGTGCTGTAAACTGGATCACTGAAATGATCTGGGCTAAAAATACTTCCCTTAACTCTTTACCAGGTTATTTTTAACCCCAATCATTTCAGTAACAGCATTGGTGGCACGGCCCAACAAGGGAGCAGACTGCAGCCAAGGGACCAGACCTCACCATTGCTCACTTGGCCAGAGTCTGAGGAAAGGCCATCTTGACGTGTCCTCCTGCTCAGAGGGTGATATGATTTTCTTCACAGCCCTCCCACCCACTGCTGACCCAGGTACCTGGCTCTAAAAGGCACATTTGTTAGTACAGCAGTCAAGGCATATTTTGAACTTTTCTCTCTACCCACAGTGCTGCTTTGAGCAGCTCCTGTTCTTACCCTTCCTCAACTCTGCAGATGAAATTGCCTGCAGGACTGTGCCCTAAACCAAGTCAGGGATGTAATTCTGACTACAAATAACCCAATCAAAAAAAAGGAGATTGTTTTTAATTCAGGTTCACCTTGCCACTGAACAGAAAAGAACGCTGGCATAGCAGAGGGTCAATGTGGGCACAGGGAGCGCTGTGGCCTACAGTGTGGCACAGGAAGAGCAGCTCCACACCTACA